CCCTGGCCCCATCATGACACCCCCATTTCTCCAAGCAGATGTCATAACATTTCTGTAGTATATAGGTTAATTTAAATCTACAGTTCTTTTCTGTGCTCCAGTGTCTGCTGCTGTTGTCTTTGTTTCATTAACATTTAGAAAATTTAAGGTTAATAAGGCATCTATCTCTGGGTGTCCTCATATCCTCCTTCTGTTTAGCAAGCATCTCTTTCAGGTGCGGTTAGATCTCTCAATAATTGATTGTCCTGTAGGAGTTTATGGCATCCCTGTAACATGTTTCATGTTGTAACGTGCAAAAAATGGTTACATTTTACTGGAAACATAAGCTGGGGCATTATCAGTCTTAATTTGTGCTGGTATACCCATTACAGCCACTGTTTCTAATAAATGTGTAATTATAGAATCCACCATTTTGTTATCTTGTTGCCAGGTAATAGAAACTTTTTTTTAAAGCCCTACTATTAACATGATGTGTGTTATGAAATTCTAAGGCTTCTAACACATTTCCTATCAACAATTGATCAATTTCTGTATTTCCTTCTGCTAATGGCCCAGGCAACCCAATATGGAATTGAATATGAGATATAAAGTGGCCAATTTCTTTCTCAGATTGTCTGTTGTAGTTGTACAATAATAAAGTTAATTTTGAATTATCAGGAGTAAGTTCACCTTGCAAATTTGAAGTTAATTCTTGACTAGACAATCCAGTTGTCGGCTGTAACCAGTTAATACCACTCAATAATTTTTGGAAATCATTAAGAGTATGCAGTCAATCTCTCCTAATCTGTACTTTTTGCAGCTGAATTCTCTGTTTACTTAATTAATAGCCTAAATAGCTAAGAGAATATCCTTGTCTTAGTTTTTCAGGAGATATTTGTAGTCCCCAACAGGATAAAATTTTCTGGATTACATTGAACATTCTTTCTAAGGTATCTATGTCAGAAGAAGCAGCCAATAAAATATCATCCATATAATGATAAATAATAGACTGAGGAAATTATTTACATACTGCTTCCAGTGGTTGATTTACAAAATATTGACACAAAACTGGGCTATTTAGCATTCCTTGTGAGAGGACATCCCAGTGATATCTCCTTACTGTTTGAGCTTTATTATAAATAGGAGTTATATAAACAAATTTTTCCCTATCCTATTCTTGTAAAGGGATAGTAAAAAAACCATCTTGTAAATCAATAACTATAATAGGCTAATCCTTAGGCAATAAAGAAGGTAAAGGAATCCCAGGATGTAAGGATCTCATAGGTTAAATTACTTTATCAGTTGCTCTTAGTTCGGGCAACATTCTCCATTTTTGCAGATTTTCTTTTTCTTACAAATATAGGACAATTCCAAGGGCTAGTAGTTTCCTTGATGTGCTTAGCATCTAACTCTTTTTTCACGAGTTCGTCAAGCACCTGCAATTTTTCTTTAGTGAAGGGCCTCTGCTCTTCCCATACAGGCTTCTTAGCCACTTTAAAGTCGGAGCAGGTAGGCTATCAGAAGTGGCCCGTACTTCAAATTTGGATAGCCAGTTCTTGTCCTATCTTTCCTTTCTACAGTCCGCATAGCCTGTGACCTTCCCTTATAATTCTTTCCAATGTTCTTTCCAGGAATATATCCCGATTTAGATATCAGTTAATGAGCTGTTTCTGAAATTGTGGGAATATTAATTTGAGCTCTCCACAGTTGTAACAAATCTCTCCCCTGTAGATTCACGACTTTATCAGTCATATAAGGTTTCAACATTCCTACTTGTCCCACAGTCCCTATACATTTAATCCACTTTACAAGAGTCTTCATTTATTTTGCAGGCAATGAAACCTTATCTCAACTAAATTGGAGTAGAGAGGCCAGTTGGGATCCCAGAATTCTTTTTTTTTTAATCTTTTTTTTTTAAAGTAATTTTATTAAATTATAAAAGTTTCCATTTACGCCCCTCTTCCCAACGCCCTCCCACTCCCCCCCTCCCTCTCCTCCTCCCTCTTTGTCCCTAAGGGCAGTCAGGGTTTCCAGCCCTGTGGGAAATTCAAGTTCGTCCCCCCTCCCTCCAGGTCCAGGAAGGTGAGTATCCAAACAGACTGGATCCCAAAAATCCAGTATATGCAGAGGAAACTAGTCCCAGTATCATTGTCAATGGCTTCTCAGAAAGACTCCGGGCCAGCCACATTCAGAGAATCCGGCCACATTCAGAGAATCTGGTTGGATCACGTGCTCGTTCAGTCGCAGTCCAACTGCCCTTGGTAAACTCTCATTAGATCCGACCCCTTGTATCAGTGGGTGATAGCATCCCTCGCAGTCCTTCGTCATTTTCTTCGTCCTTCTGCTCCTCATTTGGACCTTGGGGGGCTCAGTCCAGTGCTCCAATGTGGGTCTCCGTCTGTATTGCCATCCATCGCCAGATGAAGGATCTATGGTGATAAGCAAAATATTCATCAGTATGGTTATGGGCCAAGGCCGGTTCAGGCACCCTCTCCTCTGTCCAGAGAACAATCTGGGGATCTCTCCTTGGACCTGGGGGATCCCAGAATTCTTGTGAAATTATAGATATCTCACCACCAGAATCCAATAAACCTTCAATCTTGATTCCATTTAATTTATGCCTTTCATCATTGATGACTATTTGCCAGAATACCCCCTTTTTGCAGTATTTCTAAAACTTCCTGTCCTTATTCACTGAAGCTGCTTTGCCTTTTAAATATGGGAATAATAGCAATTGAGCAATTCTATTACCAGCTTCTATTATCATATTTCTTTTCACATATGCCATAATTTTAATTTCTCTCTGGGAGTCGTCATCTGTAGTTCCTGGGTATACAATAAATCCTTGAGCGATTCGACTGCTTCTGTCAAAAATTATTTCTACTGTTTATTGTGGGAAGGGAATCATACATCCCAGTGGTTATCTTATAACAAGGGATTTATGAGGACAATGTTAGATTTCTGCCCACTGCCAGTTCTAAAATTCTACTCCCTAAAGTAGCATGTATTAGATCTCCTGTGTTCCCCTGGTGGCTCTGTTGGTGAGCCATATCATTGCTGACAGGAAATTGGTAGCTTGTGTTGTTTGTTACTGGGCCCCAAGGTAGGCTCCTCACCCATTTCCCCAAAGGTAAAGGATTACCATGCTTATCTCTCTTTGATTTACACTAGTTGATCCAGTGTTTAACTTTCCCCCATCTCTTACAAATTCCTGGGGGTTGAGGCTTTCTATTTGGATTATCCTCTAAAGAGGTATCCTTTCTAGTAACAGAATTTTAACAGTCTTTTCTTAACTGTCCCAATTTCCCACAGTTAAAGCATCTTGTATTTTGGGATTTAAGGCCTTTAGCTATAGCGTGTCCAACTACATTATTATTATAATGTATGGATCCAATATCAGCAGTAGCTTTAACCCATTCATTCCTCTGAAGGAGCTCCCTGAACCTTCAAGGGCCGTTTGACCTTTTGGCATTCTGTAGTAGCATTCTCAAAATCCAAAGGGTCACTTAGAGCCTTTCTAACATCTGGATCAGCTATTGCTCTATGTAATGCTGAAGTTAATCTTTGCTGAGCGTCAGTGGAAACTTCTCGTGTACTTTGTGTGATTTTTGTGAAGGAGATAGATCCTTTTGTGAAGGATCCCCGGCTCTTCAACCTTATCCCAGGCACTTAAAACCACTAGATGATACTTCTCCATAGTAGCATCATCAAACTGCTTTTGTGTTCGCAGATTGGCTTACTGGCCTCTCCTAATAATCAGTCCTTTGCTATATTCATTTCTGTAGTCTGAATTACCCTGTTCCATGGCTGCTGCATCCTCTCTTCACCAAGTAAGCCACTGTAACTGAGAACTAGCTGCTAGTATAACTGTCATTAGGTTCTTCCAGTCTTGTTTCGGAATAACTATTCTGAGTAGCCCAGTTGTTTAAAACCTGTCTTTTATTTATTTATTTATTTATTTATTATGTATACAATATTCTGTCTGTGTTTATGCCTGCAGGCCAGAAGAGGGCACCAGACCTCATTACAGATGGTTATGAGCCACCATATGGTTGCTGGGAATTGAACTCAGGACCTTTGGAAGAGCAGGCAATGCTCTTAACCTCTGAGCCATCTCTCCAGCCCCTAAAACCTGTCTTACATAGAGCAAATGCATCCCATATGCTACCACTGCTTCTTTTAACCTTTTCAGATCTTTCACACCTCTGTGTTTCCAGTCAGTCTGAACATAGCCTTGAGACTGTTGATCATTTGCAGGAACATGCTGGAGGTGTCCTTATGACTCTAGGCAACCAGTCCTCAAATTCCCTCATAAGGTGGAGCTGTAGGTCTATAATTGAACATTTCCCTTTCTCCTATTGGGAAAAATTTCCTTTTAATTCCTTCTCTTTCCTTCTCTTTTCTACTGGAAAGTTTCCTTTTTGTCTCTGGAACTCTTGTATTTTTTAAACATGCAGTTAACCTTTCAGCCTTTCTGATTTCCAAGTTTGTTTCATCTGATGAAGAAGGAAGTCACCTCCAGTATCTTGACTTTCCTCACTTCTGCTGTCCTCTGAAACAGCTTTCCTAGCAATCTGTGAAGGAACATTCTCCTCTGCTAACCAAGTGTCTTCCCTTTTCTCTGTTCTACTTCAGATATAACTAAGTGACTCCTCACTCTGCAATGGCTCTAGAGCATTTGATATTAAGTTACATAAAGACCAATTTTTTTTATGGTATTGGCTCTCCTTTCTTATGAGCTCTCCTCAAATCTCTCTAGCTTGCTTCCATATTTTTAGTTTCAATTGAACTTGAGGAGTTGCCTGAAATCAATGGCAATGCCATTTAATTAATACAAAAAGCTCTGTAAGTTGTCTTTCCTTCACTTTCACTCCATCTTCTTATAACAGACATTTTAATAACTGCATGTAGTGTCGCTCCAGTGATGGGGAGTTTCCCATGACCCTGCCAATCCTGGAGTCTCTTTACCCTGAGGGCACGTCTTCCAGTTCTTAAGATACCAACTTCTCTGTCCTTCACAGGTCCGTTGTCCTTCTTCAAGCCTCCTGTTGGACACCGAATGTCACAGCACACTGTTGGGTTCACTCTGGTCTGTGGAAAAAAGACTCAGAGACACATTAAGAATGAATTTAGCCTTTCCTGGCTGCAGGGGGATTTCGCCTAATATTCTAAGAAATGAAGCACTTTCCCTTAGCTAAGGATATTTTTATTTTTCTCTATATTTACACTTTAGCTAGTTGATTTCCATATGCTCAAAACAGCAGGAATGAAGCCTCCAAAAATACAAAGCCAAGTGCAAATCCTCGATTCCTCAGTGCCACAGTTTTCCAGGTTTCCTGAACTGAACTATGCTTAGACTTTCTATCCTTGAGAAACTCTCACCAGATTCACATAGGGCGACAAGACAAACAAAGGTTATCTGCTAAATCAAAGATGGATTAATGTTAGGTGTAGCCCACCAGGAATGCTGCCACACGACAGTATTTTAATAGTTCCATGAGATCCATCTTGTAGAACTGTCCATCCGTTTAATTTTGCACCTTTGTATCATATAGGCATATACATTGATAAAGGGATCATTGTTTGTGCAAGACATATTCTAAGCAAATAGTCCATAGTAAATCTAGTGTTGCTCATATAGAGACTTTCCAAGGTTTAGTGAGGAAAGATCACTTTATGAATATCGAGAAGGGTGTCGTGGTGGAGAAACCTTAATCCCTATACCACATCTTTGTGGGGAGCAAAAGTTAAACTGTGTGAATGCAGTGTGAAAATCTTTTGTTTGTTATTCTTCCCTTAATAGATATCTCATCTGTCCCTCTGGATACAAACCATTTGAACAGAAGAGATATGAAAAGAAGCAATGTAGTTCTCTGTCTCCTACAACACTTAGAAGATATGTAGTAGTCCCCACTATGAGCAGATTTGGTGAATGTGATACAAATTTACAGCTGATTGGTTTTCCAGCTACACTGGGAATACAACAAACTCACGCTGTAAAAAAGTCTTACGAATACAAGGAGTGTGAGAATTCTTCTGTCTGCTCTGGTTCACTTTGCACTTGTCGTGTGACTCACAGTCTAGAAAAATGTTATGTATGCAGTCAGTGTGGTAGAATTCTGAGTTCTTCCAGTTCTGTTGAAAAATGTGATAAAGCTCATTTGAGCAATGTAAGTGATAAATATGAATTATCTACTAAAGGCTTTAATCTTCACAGGTATCTTCAAACACACAAAGGAACCCATAATGAAGAAGATCTCTGTGAATATAATCAACATGATAGAGACTTTAGATCTGATTCCTCTTTACAGTTACACCAAAGAACTCATGTGGAAGTAGAACCCTATAAATACAATCAATGTGGAAAAGACTTTGCACATAACAGTTGCTTTCAAGTACATAGAACTCATACTAATGAGCAATCACGTCAATGTAATCAGTGTGGTAAAGTCATGACAAGTCACCATAATCTTAAAATACATGAAAGAATCCATCCTGGAGAGAAACCCTATGTATGTGTTCAATGTGGTAAAGCCTTTGTAAGTTGCCATAATCTTAAAATACATGGAAGAATTCATACTGGAGAGAAACCCTATGTATGTGTTCAGTGTGGTAAAGCCTTTGTACATTTAACTAGTCTTCGAAATCATGAAAAAACTCATACTGGGGAGAAACCTTTTGAATGTAATCAATGTGGTAAAGCTTTTACCTGTCGTAGTAATCTTCAAGTACATGAAAGTACTCATACAGGCGTCAAACCCTATGGATGTAGTCAATGCGGTAAAGCCTTCGCACACATCATTTACCTTCAAAGGCATGAAAGAAGTCATAGTGGAGACAAACCGTATGAATGTAATCAATGTGATAAAGCCTTTGTACGTTTAACTAGTCTTCAAAAACATTATAAAAACCATACTGGAGAGAAACCCTATGAATGCAGTCAGTGTGGTAAAGCCTTTGCAAGTCACAGTAATCTTCAAGCACATGAAAGAATTCATACTGCAGACAAGCCCTATGTTTGTAATCAATGTGGTAAAGCCTTTTTAAGTCGCCGTAATCTTCAAATACATGAAAGAATTCATACTGGAGAAAAGCCCTATATATGTGATCAATGTGGCAAAGCCTTTGCACATTTTACTAGTCTGAGAAATCATGGAAAAATTCATACTGGGGAGAAACCCTACATATGTAATCAGTGTGGTAAAGCCTTTGCATGTCGTAGTAATCTTCAAGTACATGAAAGTACTCATACAGGAGTCAAACCCTATGAATGTAGTCAATGCAGTAAAGCCTTCGCACACATCATTTACCTTCAAAGGCATGAAAGAAGT